TACACATAAATCAGGCGATCATTTGAGCCCAAGTTTTTTTCTTCTTCTGGAATCTGAGTTAGAGCAAGAAATTCGGGATCACGAGTGGCATGAAAAAAACATCGACCTTGAAGCAACAGCAGAATTTCTAAAAGCAGTTGATACAAAAAAAATTTTTGTATAAGCAGGCTCACCTCTTCAGCACGCAGTGTCCAATATTGGTCATTTATGTTTTCGATATTCTCGTGGAGAGGAAAGATCTGAAAATTTCAGAAAGCAGAGTAACTCTTAATGCATGGAAACACTAATCCTAGCCTAATTTCAGAGAGATACTCCAGACAAGGTTCTTAAAAAACCATGTAAAGAGAGTTGGTAACTAGATTAACATCAAACTATCAGCATCCAGTTCTACCACAAATCCAGGCAAATGATAAAGTACAGAACATATAGTCTGAATCACGTGTCTACATTGGACATTCAAAGATCAAACTAAATCAAGTAACTGTTGCTAATAAATCAATCAAGCATAACTAAATTTCCATAGTAGATAACATTACCTTATAAATCTTGTGATAGAAAACTTCAAGCAACCTAAGTTCAGCATTTGGATGAGACAACTCAACCTATCATTGGATGTAAAAAATGTGAGACATTCATTCTTAAGCTGACTTCTTCTTTCTTGAGTAAAAGACAGGGTAACTTGCTCAACAATGTCAAGAAAAAAGAACAAAATAAAATAAACATTCCCGGGGGAAGGAACCACTTTACTGGGAGGCACACCACTTCAGAACAAGAAAGTCACATCAATTATCAAGAAACAGTAAATGTACCTATTCACACTAATAGTAATATAATTTTCTAAAAAGCAATAAGCTAACCTTCGTTTTGATTTCATTCAGAACATTCCCGACAGTGCTAAGCTTGGGTAATCTAATATTGCGGATTATAATCTGAAAATGGCATGACACTGATCAATGATTTCATATAACTCGATGCAAGGGTAGCACATTATATTATTGGTACCTCATCCTTTGTCGCATGATAGAAGGCAACTTTCAGTGTTTTCAGGCGCTGCAATTTTGGCAGAGGAATGTCCAGCACCTCATAATAAAGTATATCCGAAATCTATTATAAAAAACCAAGTTATCTTTTGTTAATCAGTCATATCATAAGTCTAATCTCTAGCGTAACGACTTATGCCAACCACCTGATTATGGTGGACAAGCATGTCTAACAACTGATCAACTGCTCTGTATTTGATAGGATTTGGCTTTGGTTGCTGAGAATAACAATTATGAGGAGTAAGCGCGGATGTTAGATGGGTCACGCAAGCCAAGGTGCTGAGCAAATCTTTCCACAACATTATCATACGAGTCAACCTTTGCTCTGTAGAAGATGCAGAAGTTAGTCCCAACTAATTTTACTTGAAAACTGCCTACAATATGAATAAATAAACTGGATGCTCAGAGCCATCCTAAATAACAGCGAAATTAGAGAGTACTCACAACTCTAGGTAGAACACATCTTCCTTGGGCTTCTCCAAAGCTCGGAAATGCACTATCTGTGAAGGATAAAACACGCATGAAAAGCAGTTTAAAAAGAAAGAGTACAATATTGCATAATAATAGCTTCACGGGGAAGTGTTCTCATATGGAGGCAAGCTTTCCACCTACACGAAGTTGCACAAAATGAGATATGAATCCTTAACAGATGGAAGGGCAAGAAACACTATGTAAAGAGGCCAATATAATGAAGAAAAATAGTATTATATACATCAACAAACAGATAGCCTAGAACAGTCTTTCGACTGCTATGATAGCTAAAGAAAAAACTGAGATAATTGGGTGGATGTTCTAGAAAGATGGACATTTCCAACTTCAAAATTTTGGTTTTTCTTTTATCAAAAATATTGTCCTGGCGATTTTTCACATAATACATAAACGAAGGCACTTCTGCGAATCGGAATTGCACACCACCAAACAACTTCCCAGGACTCATAGCACATCACTACAACAAAATCAACTACTGACCACAGCACAACAAAAAATCTCACAACCTTGAATGTGAACTTTTAGCACAACACATCAAGTCACCACAGCACAACACTACAAATTACAACAACCAATGCATAATTTTATTCAAGGAGCTATAGGCTTGAAAAAAAAAGTCTACCTTAGCTCAAAAGTCACAACATTATTATAAGTATGTTTAGACTTGGGGGCTGCTTTTCTGGCTTGCAATAAAGTGCATCCACAACTGTATTCAACAATCGTTAGAGATGAGGCGCCTGTTGATGTATCCATGGATGTCAGAATTGCACTATGTTGCATGTAAGACTTTCTTTTTTCCCGTGCTTTTCTTTTTTTAACAACGAGGTGTTCATTTGATGATTGATATCAATTGTGAGAGAGTTTACCTTCAACTTTTTTTTTCTCTCCGTATTTCAAACAATGATGTGTTTACTTGATAATTGATACCAATTGTGAGAGTCTACCTTCAAAGATTGATTGTTGGAACACAAATCAATACTCTGATGTTTTTGTTTCTCCAAATGACATCCTTTCTACCACTATGTACCCCTTATTTTTTAACTAATTGATAGTTTCTTTCCTCATACTCATATAAACCAGCAATCTATCTTTTGCAAAACCCCAAAAAAGGAAAAGACACATCAACTAAAGATCTCTACATCATTCATTCCTGGACGCGTTGAGCAGCACGACAAGATGCTTCTTAGCCTCCGCCATGTTCCATATGCATTGTAGGTCAAAGCCATTAGGTGCATCATGCCAGCGCTGACAGTCGAGCAGATAGGCTGAGGCCTTCTTCCACTCATTCACAACATTCGCCACCTCCTATGTGTATGTGATATGGTATATGGTCACATAATTCTTGACAATGGGATTCAAAACACTATGGAATCGCGTGGCCTCAGTGAAAGTAGCAGCGACGTGCTTGGCGCTTGTGTTGTAGTGCTTGAGGAGTTCAAGGGCGACCCACAGGATCGGGTGCTGCCCGAGGGCAAGACGCAACTTATTTTTGTGCGAGGTGCTGCTCAGGCTTTGGTAGTTGCCATAGAAACTTAGGGCTTGAGAGCCCAGGATCAAGTGGAGGCACTCCTCGACCATCTCCTGTCAGGTATTGTTCCGGCTGCGGAAGTTGATGACGTACAAGTTGTCTCGTGTGATGGATACCTCCTGCTTACCGTCACCTTTGCCGACATCTTCTTCTTTTGCACCGTCACTTTTGCCGGCATCTTCTTTTGATGAGATAGATCCTTGTCGAGCTTTCAATCTTTTTCCTTTAGATGAGGGGCTGACTGGGTCGGGGTCAGGGTCGGACATCTTCTGTTTGGTATTTCTCTCAACAACAATAAACATCTCGAAAAACAATTTGCGCTTCATGTCATGTCGGTTGCTTTGCTTGTTTGGCAGAACGACGCAACCGAAGCATCTTTGGACTCCGGCGGGGCAAATCTTGTGGTTTTCCGGATACCGTACAACCATGTTTTTTTTCAATAAAGTGATGAACTGCTTGTACATCTTCGAATCCGATCCGGTCTTGAATGTGAACCTTCTGCGCACCACCAAACACTTCTCAGGACTCATAGCACAACACTACAACAAAATCAACTACTGACCACAACACAGCAAAAAATCTCACAACCTTGAATGTGAACTTTTAGCACAACAAATCAAGTCACCACAGCACAACACTACAAATCACAACAACCAATGCATAATTTTATTCAAAGAGCTACAGGCTTGAGAATAAAAAAGTCTACCTCAGCTCAAAAGTCACAACATTATGATAGGTAGTTCTTGGTAGACTTTTGAGCCTATCATAATGTTGTGACTTTTGAGCAAAGGTAGACTCTTTTTTCAAGCCTATAGCTCCTTGGTTATGCATTGGTTGTTGTGATTTGTAGTGTTGTGTTGTGGACCTGTGGTGACTTGATGTGTTGTGCTAAAAGTTCACATTCAAGGTTGTGAGATTTTTTTGTTCTGTTGTGGTCAGTAGTTGATTTTGTTGTAGTGTTGTGCTATGAGTCTTGAGAAGTTGCTTGGTGGTGTGCAGAAGGTTCACATTCAAGACCGGATCGAATTCGAAGATGTACAAGCAGTTCATCACTTCATTGAGAAAAAATGTGGTTGTACGGTATCCGGAGAACCACAGGATTTGTCCTGTCGGAGTCCAAAGATGCTTTGGTTGTGTCGTTCTGCCCAAACAAGCAACCGACATGACAGGAAAGCGCAAGATGTTTTTCGAGATGTTTATTGTTGTTCAGAGGAAGACCAAACGGAAGATGTCCGACCCCGACCCTGACCCTGACACCGAACCCGACCCAGCCAACCCCTCATCTAAAAGAAAAAGATTGAAAGCTCGACAAGGATCTACCTCATCAAAAGCAAAAGAAGAAGATGCCGGCAAAAGTGACGGAGTAGAAGATGCCGACAAAGGTGACAGTAAGCAGGAGGTATCCATCACCATCACACGGGACAACTTGTACGCCATCGGCTTCCGCAGCCGGAACAATACCTGCCAAGAGATGGTCGAGGAGGGCCTCCACTTGATCCCGCGCTCTCAAGCCCTAAGTTTCCAGCGCAACTACCAAAGCCTGAGCAGCACCTCGCACAAAAAAAGGCTGGGTCTTGCCCTCGGGCAGCACCCAATCCTGTGGGCCGCCCTTAAACTACTCAAGCACAACAAAACAAGTGCCAAGCACGTGGCTGCTATGATGGTGATAATCTTCACTTTCACTGAGGCCACACGATTCCATAGTATTTTGAATCTCATTGTTAAGAATTATGTGACAAGATACCATATCACATAGGAGGTGGCGAATGTCGTGAATGAGTGGAAGAAGACCTCAGCCTATCTGCTCGACTGTCAGCGTTGGCATGATGCACCTAATGACTTTGACCTGCAGTGCATATGGAATATGGCGGAGGCCAAGAAGTGCATATGGAACATGGCGGAGGCCAAGAAGCATCTTGTCGTGCTGCTCAACGCGTCCAGGAATGAATGAAGAGATCTTTAGTTGATGTGTCTTTTCCTTTTTTGGGGTTTTGCAAAAGATAGATTGCTGGTTTATGTGAGTATGAGGAAAGATACTAGAAATTAGGTAAAAAAAAACAAGGGGTGCACAGTGGTAGAAAGGATGTCATTTGGAGAAACAGACACCAGAGTATTGATTTGTGTTCCACCCATCAATCTTTGAAGGTAGACTCTCACAATTGGTATCAATCATCAAGTAAACACATTATTGTTTGAAAAACGGAGAGAAAAGAAAAAGTTGAAGGTAAACTCTCTCACAATTGATATCAATCATCAAATGAACACCTCGTTGTTAAAAAAAAAAAAGCACGGGAAAAAAGAAAGTCTTACATGCAACATAGTGCAATCCTGCAATTCTGACACCCGAGACATAGCTTCTAACCTCAGACTTGAACTTCTTGGCAACTTCCTGTAATGACTCGGTAAGCTTCTTCAAGTCATCAGCCTCAGCAAAAACATACACCTGCTCGACATCAGAGTGATTAAGCAGCAAAATATATTTTACTGTAAATTAAATAAATGAACAAAAGATGAAGCAAGATATATTTTACTGTTTACTGAAAACAGATGTTAGACAAACCTGCCGTTTATTTGTGCTGGAGAATACTTTAGCAGATTTGAGCTCAGTCATTACGTTAACTAATGGGAACTTATTATTCTCCAAAAATTGCAATATTCTGTCTGATGTCAAGTTTCCATCTGTAACCACATAAATTTCGTCAGCAGCAGAAAAAAAGACCAAATGTAGGATATTACGAGAAATAGAAGAGTTCGAGAATGGAAAGAAAAACTAACTTTCATGATCTTCTATATGCTGAACATTTATTATCAGATTTTGAAGCTAAAGAAAGAACACTCTTTGAAGAAAGTAATTTAACAACTCGAAGCAACATGCAGTTTCTGTCATAATCATTAACATTTTCTCATATTTTAAGTCATTTTGGTTCATATTATTCTCTTATGGTGTATCCGTACACGATATAAGACTCTATTTTTTCCTCGCTTAATTCAAAATTTAAACACTTTAAGCTACCTAATGGCGGGTATTTTTCTGGTTCGCTTTTAGCAAGACCAAAAAATGGTTTGTCGAGCTTCCCAACATGGTACAAAACTTCAGCTACTTCTTTGCTGTTTGTCTCAACAAATTGAATTTCATCATCTGTTGTTGCAGCTTTTTTGAACTCTCCATACTCAGGTCCCTATCAATATTAAATTCATATGACTTGGTTCATACAAATAGAAAACGAGGAAAGGAAAAGAAAAAGAAAAGGAAGGTTAAAGGAAGAAGAAAGAAAATAAAAGGCTGTAGATCAACATTTTATAGCAAATAAACTCTGATACTATTCGTTGCAAATACGAAATTTATCTCATCTTGAGCATACCTCAAATTTATCAAAGATCCCAATTGCATACTTAGAGTGCTGCTTGAGAAATCCATTTGCCTCATCAACCGAGTTTATTCTAATAACCGGAGAACCTGTTTTCTTCCTTGCCCATATCACCATTTCCTCCATTTTTCATGAAAAAAAAGAGACACACAACTTTAACATCACCGCACATAAAACAAACAAAATGCAGGACTATTCGCGGTTATGAAGTGCTGCAAATACAAATATATTGCTAACAACTAAAAAATAATGAGAAAAATCTACAAATGACAAATCTTTGGTTTCTACTAAGATAACAACAGGTATTTCATTTCTTGATTCCCCACCAAACTAAAAAAAAAAACGAAAAGATAACAATAACAGATGAATAAAAATGAAAAGCATACATCTTATGATCCTTGATCAGTCTCCCCCAATCAACATTCTATGATAAGCTTATGATCTGCAAAACTTTACTCAAAAAAAAAATTTAAAAAAACGCAGACAGAACATAAGGAATCATTTTGTTAAAAAAAAAAAAAGAACACGTACGAGGAATGGGACGGCCCTAAGTATATTATAACTCTACCAGAATGTAATACAATGCCAACATTCAACCAAATCATTACTCCTTTGTCCTTCTCAGTTATGGAAATAATAAATTGCGGCTACGCTCAAATGAGCGAGTCGAAAGCGTCTTATTGTGCGCGTGAGGACACATGGACAAATATTTTTCTTATATCCGTAGCTGCTGTAATTTGATATGATGACTCACTTTTCGACGAATCGTTTCTGGTCGTGCTTTTCCACCCCCACGAAGAACACCTCGAGCTCCGCCGGCAGCAATACATGGAAATTTTCCGGCGAGAGATTGCTGGGGACGTCGTTTTCTTGCTATCAGCCATGGGGATTGATTATAGTGACACCTGCTACGAGTCACTGTAAAACCCGTTCGTCGGAATCGCCTCTGTACTAGAAAAAGAGAAAAATCGGAAATTTGTGAACTCGTGACACACAATAATTTTTTTTTTAATTTTTTTTTTTTT